CAGGACCGGGCACCTCGATCTCGAGAGCCTCCGAATCGCCTCCAAAGCCGCGACTTTGAGCAAGAACACCACGACCTCATCCCCTCGCTTGCTCCTCAGCCTCCTCAAGGGAACCACGTGCTTTAGCGCCCTGCTCGAAAAATCCCCCGCTCTTGAAGAAGAAGAAGAGGCGACAAGACCGAGCTTTGGCGCCTTCTCGCGACCGAGATTGCTTGCGCGAGACATCACCAGGAAAAATGAAGGCCTAGATTCGCCGATTAATGGGTGATTTAGGGCTTGAAAACTTAGAAAACCAAGGGGGAAAAGAGGAACTAGGTTTTTTTTTTTTTTTTTTTTTCCTTTGTTAGCGTACCTGAAGAAAGATTCTTGTCGATTCCGAGTGAGATCTGGTAGCGGGAGCTACAATGATCACGGAGCTTCGACTTTTTCGTTCTTCTTTCTTTTTTTTTCTTGTTCTTTTTTTTTTCGGCGTTTTGTTTTTTTTCCCCCAAAATTGAGGGAAAAGAGGGCAAAAAATCGTTGACTGGGGTGGGTGAAAAGAAGAATAAATATTTTCGACCGACATTTAATTACTTTTGTAGAAATACACCCATAATTAACCCTCTTTTACCAAATAACTGCAGAATTCACATTGTCTAGGGTATGTAGATAACATACGGGTTGTTTTTTTTACTTTTTTTAGGGTTCTAATTATATTGAGCCCATTTAATTGCAACTCCAAGCTAATTAATAACTATGAACGTGCCGATGGTTTTCTTAGAATTGGTGTTTATGTCAGAAAGTTAATCGAATGTGTGGGTGGATATTTGGAAGGGCCGGAGAGCATTTTCCCGGCACGCCCTCCGACGTTCAAATCAGTAATAGATTTTAAGCAAACTTGTAGAATGCAGAATCTAGTTTTAGGGTTTTACTCAGTGAACCTTGGTGTAGTAGCTTCTTATCCATTGTTTGCAGAGAATTTACGAGGGGGCACATTGGTGATTCGACTGGGTCGGTGCAGTCGATCGATTAGACTACACTTTACACACATCAGCGGTCGATTAAATGAGAAATATGTGCATTTAATGTGACAGTGATAGGATGGTGGAAGTGCGGGCATCATCCAAGGAGTTATTATGACTCCGGCTCAATAAGTCATAACGAATCTGACCGCGCATATAATGCGATAGTGACTGGGTGGCGAAATATGGGCGCCGAGTGGCCATGCATTAAATGTGAATGATGTTACTGAGGCCTATAGGTCATTCCGTTGTTCAAGACATTCTCTAATGAAGTCCGAGCAGAAAACGACTTTCATCTCGGACTCAAATTCATTTGACAAACCCGAGCTTGAAAACGTCTTTTGTCTCAAATTGCTAGAGAGATCAGCAGTGCTCGGCCTGTTAATATGACATGTTACAACAATTGGGATGAGTTTAAAGTGGACCCCAATTCCGGAGGTTAGATTCCCCGTTACCGAAAAACACCTTACGGTGACTACTGAAAATTTCCGATACAAAGGAGGAGCATAGTAAACATGCATACTGGTATGAAACGGGATTTACAGTCAAATTAGTCTCTTCTTTAACATTCAACATAGCCGCACCTCCTCAACGTGTGAAAATATTGTAAAGAGCTCCAACTTAACCAAACCAAACAATTTCGGAAAGACACATGATCACTAGCTATAGATAAAACGAGCAAAATTGACTCGCGCGTTGCTGCGACATTAATGTGAAAGAAATTAATAAAGTGTATGAAAATTTTTACGGAATGTGTTCAATTAATGTGAAAACAAATACATATATATATACACACGCGCGCGTGCTTAATTGTACAAATAAAAAATTCAACAATAATGTATAGACATCACAATTCATTTCCAACAAATTGTAAATTATTTAGAATGCATACATCAAATTGCCTAAAGATACTATTTTGCTGAATAACAAAATAATTAATAAAGTTTTAGTTTTTTTACCCGCCAACAACCATGAATTTGGGATATAACAATTAATAATTTGCTGAAAATTATCTAAATAATATATGGAAAGAAGTTAAAAGTAGAGGAATAAGGGTTACTCGCAAGAGAAAATATTGAAGTATGTGACAACCAAAGCTAACTAACAAAGTTTTTTATGTATTACCATACATGGTACTTTATACATCTAATAGTGATTATCAAAGCTAAGCATCGTATTTAGGACATGCACAAAAGCACCTTAATGATTTACATGAGTATCAGTATGGTGGGAATAGTTCTTAGGAGAACTTTCAAAATGTCTATTATGGTAAGGATTGCAAATATATAATAGCAAAAGTCCTTAACATATTAGAATGATTGGAATTTAAGTGAGATATTAGCTAAGTATAACAAAAAAAAGGAAAGACTTATTATACAAAGATAACTTCCAGAGATCACGTTCTATTTTTTTTTTTTTTATCTGTGGATGTATCACTGTAATAAAAAGAAGAAGAATGAATGAATCATGTCAAAAATGCACGTCAAAGAGTTGAATTTTGATGGAATGAATGTGGTACTTACAAGGTGTGCCTTTTCAATGAGAATTAAATTAGACTATAAATAACTTTAATTTGTACTTAGGGAAAATTATATGTAGGCTAATGTTTTAGGAGTAAAGATGGTGGAGAGGCTTTAATAAGTATTACTGGACATAACGATTTACTGGAAATATTAAAAAAACACAAGTTGATGTAAATAGTTGCAGCTGTACGGTCACCGTAGCTTTACACCAAGATCCACTAAAAATTCATGTTGTCCACTTTCAACCCTCAAATTTCTGTGCTTAGGAATAGCGTATAGAGAAATTTCGGTTACTGTAGTTTTACACCAAGATCCACTAAAAATACATGCTATCCACTTTCAATCCTCAAGTTACTGTGCTTAGGAATAGGATATAGAGAAATTTCGTTACTGTAGCTCCGAAGAGTTGTAGCTGAGAGCGTTACCGTGCTCAGGAACAATATATACAGAAATTTCACTCACTGTAGCTCTAAAGAGTCTGTTAACATTAGCATATAGAAGAATAGTGGAAGCAACGTGCCCTCAACTCAAGATTCACAAGTAAATCTCTGCGGTTCTTTCTTTGTTAGAAAAGGTCCGTGAATGATAATTTAACCAGTTGCAAACTTGCAAAACTTGAGAGAATTGCGTGCTAGAAGGTGCAAAACATCCCGTGCATTAGGACATAATTGACAGATGTGGAGGCTGAGACAACCACAATTCCCCACTCAATACTGAAGCTCAAGGCAACCAGCAGACTAACATGCACCCCTAAAGAAAGAAAACTAATAAGACTCAAGACGATGAGACCGTCGATCCGCCTTCCCACTAAAATTATATCGAAATTACACTTAAACAAGGCACCAAGCGTGGACGCACATATCGACCAAGACGTTTTACAAGGCGGGTTCTCTTCGTTCTGCTCGTCCCTTTAAAGCATTTCCTGAGATCGCCTCACACATCGGCTCACTCTCTTCTTGAATTCACTCCTCTTATCCCTCCATTCTTTCTGCAATGCACGCCGATCAATAAACTTGTGTCAGATCAAACTCTAATAACAAAGCCATAAGATAGAACTCTAAACAATATAGCCATAAGATAGGAAGAGAAACTTAAAATATAGTGGAAATTGGAGGTCCAACGCGCGCGCGCGCTCATTCTCGTGCAAACAAGGAGTTGCATTTGCATTCGTCAACAACTTTTAACTAAGATATTCAAGCCCTCTTCATCCACGTTGTTTCTTTTATATCATGAAATGGAAACATCTCCTCTCCGACTATACTTTAATAGCCTTCATACAGAGTAGTAAAGTTTGATAAACAAACTTCATATTCAGACTTTTTAACAAACAAACTTCATAGTGCATCTGCAATGCAGATTTCAGGCCATTGCAGATTGCCTCAGGATCTAACCCTTCAAACTCTCTAATTAATTGAGTAATGGACGGATAGTGTAGGTTGCGGATAAAGCACACATCAGAGTACATTTGAAATAATAAAAGTTCTTTAGTTTGATGTCATCACTGGAAGAATAATAACCCTAAACTCCCATTATTATCAGGACAAATCAATTCTCCTATACTAGAGAAGAAGTGATGAATATAAGTTAACACAACGATAGCCAAATTCATTCACACAATTTCTTCCCTAGAAAAGATGTGTGACATGTCCATTCTAAAAATATTTTGGTGCCCAAACCAACTCAGTTTTCAAACAAAGATGCCATTGATAAGTAGATACAAGATAATACCAGATATCAAAGAATGTTATGAAACCAGTTGTTGTATGTTATAAAAACCAGTTGTTGTATATAAAAGAGGAAAAAGAATCACTTACAGCTGCTTCAACGTTTGCAGGAGATTCATCATTCGGACTAGAAAGCATGGAGATTATGCTCAGAACTATGCTTTCGACCTGGCACAATTGGTTATGGATTTAATGATGCTTTATATAATTCAAATTGCAAGTACAAATCACATCAAATATTAAGTGATCTTAAACCTTCAAATTATAAATTAGAAAAAAAGATAATAAAAATTTAAAGAATATCAAGCATGAGAGCTATACATGAATATGCAATTATTCAAGCAATGCATCCAGCTTACTACTGATTTTCTATCTCTTGGGACCTCTTTGTGAATTATATTGTGCAAGCTATAATAGAAATCACTCTCAAACATCAAACGAAATAATGTTGAACCTTCAAACTGAGCAAACTCATGCACAAAAATAAACACAAGTAATGAACTTAAGAATGAGATTTTTTAATGAGTATGAAGGTATGCAAAAAATTTACCAGCTTATTATGTTGGATGAGTGGGCTAGGAAATGATTTGAGTTTTCCATGACTATACATATGGTTTACGCATTTTATGCTTTTACTTTAGGCCCACTTTGAAAATGATGACAAATATTGTGCTCTTTTTGTTTTACATGAAACATGCATCCAAGAGTAATCCTATGCTATATTGACAAGGACACAATGAAAAGAACACAATACACAGGTGTGCAAGATAAATACAAAATATACTTGATAAGCATGTTCAACAAGCGCCTTGGCAACACCCTAGTTTCAAGGTAGAAATGTCTATGAACTATGGTACATAGGCTTTCAAGTCCCTTTATCCATGCTTACGCCAATCGCAATGTCCATTACTTAACTATTTAAGTTCCTCATACAAATACATACTAAGATGTCTGTGCAGTGTAGTTCAATTAATTCGATAATCCTAAACAACCATTAAATAATAATTTGTACTATCTTGTCAAAAAATGGAAAAGGTGTTAACTTAGGTGATTTAAGAAACTAAGAAAATCCTCCAAACTATAATAACATTCTGATAATTACACAAGTTTTTGCCTAGAAAATTAGAAAGCAAGATCCATCTGGGTATACTGAGATTTCCAACGCTCGCTTGCAAAAAAAATTACCGTGTGAACAGGTGTCCAACGCTCGCTTGCAAGCTCATAGCCATTGGGGTCCTCCCCAGGAGCATGGAGAATCGATATGCAAACACGTCCATCTGGGTATACTGAGATTTCCAAGGTACAAAAGAAAACCTTAAGCATGCAGTAAAATGATAAAATCTACACGTGTAAGAGAACAAGCACAACTAACCATTTGGGTGCCACATCTCTGATGTAAATCTAACTGAAGGAGGGCTGTTAGGGTAGTTATCTGGAAAACTCATGATGGCATTGAAGAAGCCTCCCTCACTGCACGCAATGATACCCAGTCAAGATTTGCACAAAGAAATATCAAGTCCAAATTTGCTCTACAAAGCAGAAAGATATAATATAACTTTACTATGTTTTTTCATGCAACAATTTTTTAAATAAAATTCTCAGTATACAGTTCTACTGACATCAAACAAAAAATATCCCTGCGACTTTTGACTCAATCTTATGAGACAATAAAACCTCAAGACGTGTTTGTGTTTCTAATAATTTTAGGAATTAATGAGGCAGTTACTGAACTTCATTCTTAAAAACATTAGAAAACAGAATGAGCACAACAACGGGCGCACAAATGGAAAACATCAGTAGTAACCTTCTGAATATTTAGAATGTGTAGGAAGAGCACAAACGTAAAGTTGTCCCGACAATTCATGGCAAGCTTTCTATTGATCACGAACACGTACTACGAAAGTTAATCAAATTACTTTTCATATACCATCATTCAGAAGCTTGTAAAGTTATGTTTTGCTTCATTCAAAAATCAGTTGCCATTAAAACAGTGACGTCCAAATACATCCATAATTCAGCAAATACATGCAGAAAAAACAAATCCTAATATATAAACCTAAACATGACCATCACTTCCCAATAAAGCCATGCATTTGTTAAAGGCCCTTCCACTACACCAAAAAACTCCAAAGTTGCGAAAAAAAAAAAAAAAAAAAAAAAAAAACTTATCTTTTGGATACAAGTCCCCCAATCATCATATTGGGATACAAGTTCCCCTAAACTCGTATATTTAGATACAAGTCCCCCAATTTCCCATATTTGTATACAAGATCTTGGAAACTAGTCCCAATAATTAATTATCATCCACTTAACACAAACTTAACTAATGGGATTGTTTTTTTCACATTTAACCTTATTTTCAACCTACCCTCTTGTGAAAAGCAAGAAATTATGTCAGTGCATATTTTGAACCCATTGAAGACCAATACTATCTTGCTAAATTTACTTAAATCCTTACTAACAACATGTTAGTTCAGTTCGGATAAGTTGATGAATATTAACCATGGAAACATGTTTCAAAGAACTTAATAGCTTTGACTTTTGAGGGGCTTGTATTCAAGTATGATGATTTGGGGAATTGTATCCAAATATGATGATTTAGGGATAGGGGTGCCAAAAACATCTTTATCCGAGGAAATATCTGTATCCATATTTGGGGGACTTGTATCCAAATATGATGATTTAGGGTTAGAGTTGCCAAAAATACACCCGATAGGATATGGTTACGGCTACAGATTTGCAGTGAAATATCCATATCCAGATACAAATATTCCTCTGCTGATGCTTCCACGTCTTCTAACCTCCATCGAACTCCTCCCACTGCATCCATCTACTATGAACACCCCCTCCAACTCCTCCAACCTTTAGAAAACCCCCTCTATCACCACTTAAACAAAAAAAGAAATCCTCCTAGGCCTAACGTTGGGCGCCAATTTACAACCTGAAGGTGCCTAGCGTTTTTGATAACATTGATTGTAATTAAAAAAATAAGAAATAGAAAACGGCTAGGCCCTGCCTAGGCTCTAGACGCCAGGCACAACGCCTTGGCCACACAACGCTTTCTAAAACCTAGGCATCCGTATCCGATTTAGCTGAATTAGAAATGAATTTTCCTTACCGAGGCATATGCGTTTTTATGTTCGTGATTGGCAAGCTGACATGAATATGGTAAGTATCATATTTGAGCCATATTCAAACCGTATGCACCGCTATTTGGAGTACTTGTATCCAAATAGATGAGATTTTGAGGATCAAATCTCAAAGACCCTTTTTACAAAATCTGTTTTAAATTTGTGGCTGGTCGGATTAGAATATGGGCTGCGCAGGTAACCATGTTAAAGTTCAATCAAATGCACCCAAACTCTGAACTTTTGCTGATAGTTGAGGATCTAATTTTACACAACACAACAGCAGCATTCAGCAAATTCAAACAAACCTAAAAGCCCGCAATTTTACGTCAAAAAATTGATCTTCTAATGGATATACAATATAAATTCTAGAGAACTAAAAGGTGGAATTGAACTTTCGTCTGAATTCCCTACAAGCACCGCCAAACCCGAAGAATAGCAAATCAAAGACAAAGAAACATAAAAGCTGATAAAGAAACGGCTTGAACCCAAACATGCAAGAGGCATAAAAGTGCAGCAATCCTAAAGGAAACGATTGCATCTGTTAATACCTAAACTGTCTCTAAATAACCAAGATTCATCAGACCCAATCATAGCACAAGTCAACCCCAAAGAGCATCAAATCAAAGGGAAAGACGCATCAAAACAGATAAGGAATCAGCTTGAACCCAAACAACTAAACCAAAACCCTAGCTTTATCGCCAGCAAACAACCCTAGATTGCCGAAACCACGAGATCCAATCGAATTTCAACGGAAAAGACCGCAATCCGAAAGAAGGAATCACTCACTATAGCGTATCGGGCGGCCCAATGATCGTGACGCTCCACTCGAAGATATTGCTATCGTCGACCAAGCCGGCCGAGAATCCATCCACAGGGTTCTTGCTAAGATCTGATCCCAAAAAAAAAAGACCCAAGAAAACTCAGAAAATTCTGGAAAAAAAAATCAAGAAAATTGTAAAGATCGAGGCTTTGATCGGGACCTTTGAGTTGCTTCTGGAGGAGGAGGCTGGCCTGGCTGGGTGCCGCCATTGATTCAGAGAGGGAGGGGATTGGAAAGAGAAAGACGAAGGGACGCGAGATTGATTGAAGAAGACGGGAGGGGGTGGCGTTTTCGTGAATATATAAGGTGGTGGGGGCGAAAGATAAAGTGGCGTGATAAGTAAGGACGACTTTGTGCAGCGAGGATTTAGTGGGATGATCCTGGCCGTCGATTTACGGGAGATCAGTGGTGGTGGTAATGATGGGCTCTAGTTTCTGTGGACCCGTACCCGTTGTTGGAACAGAAACCCGGTCGGATTTGGATTTTTTAATGAACATGCCAAAAGTAAATCTGTCAGTTAAATTAAATAAGTTTTTATTCAATCAGAGCCGTGAAAAAAATAGATCTCGGATAAATTAAAAGAAAAAAAAGGGGAAAATAGATCGAGGCCCCCCAAAAAAGATTCTGATTTGCCTCAGCCCAATCAAGTTTTTCTCAATACGCTCTAGCCAAAAAACACTCAATAAATGTGGTCAAGCCCAAAAAGCTCACTTTTATACATGTATGACTTGTATTTATACAGATCTTTCGAAAATACCCTTTTCTCACCCAATCTGTCATGCTCTCTTCCCCCCATCTCTCTCTCTCTCTCTCTCTCTCTCTCTCTCTCTCTCACTCTCTCTCCCCCCCCCCTCTCTCTCTCTCTCTCTCTCTCTCTCTCTCTCTCTCTCTCTCTCTCTCTCTCTTCTTGCTCAAACACCCAAATCCGATCCCTCACCGACGTCGGCACGATGACCCGCCTCCTTCACGAATGCATCGCCTACCAGCGCTCTCTCAACGTCCGCCTCGACTCCCTCCTATCCTCCGGCCCCGATCTCGACCGCAACCTCCTCGCACTCTGCCGCTCCTCCCCCCCTCTCCTTTCCCTCGCCCGCTCTGATTTGTCTCTCCTCCTCTCCTCCCTCTCCTCCACCGCCTCCCTGGCCCATCAAGTCCCATCTCACGTTCGCAGGCTCGACCTCGCCCAGTCTCGAGTGCATCTCGCCCTCTTCCATATCAACGTCGTACTTCATCGCTCGCAGTCCCTCGACGCCGCTCAATGATCACTCAACGTCGAGGACTACAACTTTGTCATCCAATCAAGAATTTGTTGTCTGTTGGGGTTCCCGAAGGGCCGAATCCAAGAGAGGTCGAGACTAACTTGGAATAGATTTTGTCATTGATGCATTTGGGGGATGATTATACTGAGTTCATAATGTCGAAGATCAGGGGATTGGGGTTCGTTGATCCTCAATTTGGTTTCGAGGCTATGAAGAGATTAAGTACTTAGAGTTTTAATGGAGTGGTGCAAGAGCTAATTGGGCATATTTGGTTCTTGAGGAGTTCTTATGGTGGAGAATGTAAGGAGGGCAATATCATTTGATGAGCAACAACTAGAAAGTCTGACAACATCAATAGTAGTTGGTGTGATTGTATGGGTCTAATCTTTCATACGTATGCATCAATCTCATCACATTTCAGGAAAATATAATACACGGGAGAAAGTATGAAATAATTTTTTTACTCCCGATGATGAATCTTGTGTCATATGTGCCAGACTTGTAGCTAAGTTTCTAATAGAAAGATGGGGATAGAAGAATCGAGTAGAGTCATTAAATAAGGACATGGAGAAATTTGTTTCAAAAATTGATTGATTGTAAAAAGTAGCGTGCATGTTTATATTGTGTTACTGATTTTAGTTGTATTAAGAGTAGATATGGATGATAAACAATGCAACAATCTTGACTTTTATTATTTTTACTGTATTTACAGTATATTTACCATCAATTTGATACGTTCATTGTTGATACCACAAATACTTAACACGTTCAGCTAGAAAGTTATCGTGTTTAGCCGAAAGTTAACAAGCATCGCCAAAAGTTAACATGTTTTATGGTCAGTCACCATACTAAAATAAAAGTATCGGGAGAGTGCATGTATAAGCCTAAGAGAGCCATGGTCCGAATCAACTTAGAAGCTCAAAAGCCCAGTCAGAGCCAAGTCCCTTGACTAGACGAGCAGACAAACCATATTTCGATCAACAGGTCATCATGACCAACTCAAAGTGCGGGATCAGTCGTCTCCTCGCAATTAAGACGACTCCTCGAGCAGATGACTCGACTATACACCCGACCCGAAGCCTGCTCGATTATTGGGTCGCCAAATCATAATGATGACTCGCATATCAACCCGCCTCGGCCAAAGGAATAAGAGCTGACCAAGATCATTTCAGATGTCAATTGATATAACAGTACTGATTAGTCCCATCAAGATCTCTATTCTGACAGTCCTCGTGCCCCAGCCGCTTATTCGGCTTACAAGTCATTTCCCAGAAAAATTACCATAATGCTTCTCTGTGCACGAATGACTTCTCCTTCAATCGCTAGCCACCACCTGGAGAGAGAAGGATGGCCACGCAGCTAACCTATCCTACATCCTGCCTCTTCTGACAAACCCAGGGCACTGAGAAGACATCTCCCCTGACACTGAATGACTTCCCTTCCAGTAGCCCGCCGACACCTGGAAGGAGAAAAATGACTCAGCAGACTGCATGTTAACCTTTCAAACCGCCTCCTGTGCATAATCAACAAAAGCCGAGGATCAACTCCCAGAGGTGGGGGGGGGGATATAAAAGGAGGTAAGAAAAGTAAGAGCAGGAGGTTGCTCTCTACTTCTTCTTACACTTGAGCTTTACTTCCCGTTGGGATCTTTTTTACACCAAGAGCATTTTAATAACCCTCGAGGCAAAACCCCCTGTAAGGACCTCAATGGCCCAGGGGCCTCTCAAAAAACCCTCCCCAAGTTCACCAACTGACTTGACCGTCGGAGGTACCACATGGAAAACTAGCACCGTATTCTTGCGATTCTTGCATGTGCAGGCTATCAGTCTACCCCACACGCTCAGTATCGGGCATAAAGTCGGAGGAGGAGTCGGCCCCAACATTCATCCTCTCCTTCTTCCCCACCGTCGCTAGGATCGAAACTGCATCCGACAGCGGGAAACCCCCATCAACTATTTGTTCACGAGCATCAACAACATGTTCAACCGAAAGTTAATAGGAAACGTAAAAAGTTAACATGTTTGGCCGAAAATTAACAGGCAACGTCAAAAGTTAACACGTTAGCTGAAAGTTAACAAGAGACTTAAATAGTTAACGATAAATGTAAATAGGTTACATATAAAATCATTGTACTTCAATACGTTGTCTTACATTCTTACAGCTGATATTGCTTGAATACACAAGTTGGATGAGGTCACTGGATTCTTAGGGGATTTGCAGAATCGGATTGATATTAGACCAGGATTGAACCTGGTCCAATTTTATCCATAACAAAATAACTAGTTTTAAGTTCCATCTTTAGCTTGAAAAAACTAGTTCAAACATGTCTCTTTTTTAATCAATTACAAAACAAACAAAAACCGGGTCAAGATCAATCCCGATGCAATTTTAACAAATAGTTTGGCAACCACTTAAATTTTAGGCTATCATGCCCATGCTTTAGACAACATTGGTTTATTTTGAACCCTAGGGGAGGGGTCTAAAACAAAACGCGTTTAAATTATCAAATTTGACCTTAGAAAAGTTGAAGCAATGTTGACACAATTTTATCCAAATAGATTTTCTTCCCAAATGAGATCAGGTTTAAGTATGACCCTATTTTGGAGAGTTGCCAAACACACTAGCCTCTCAGATTATCCGAGAGTTTGAGTCTAGACCAAGGTGGTAACAAACGAGAACCGCATTTCAATTTTTTTGTAGCTTCCTTTTCTTTTCTCCATCATCTCTTCCTTGATATTCACCATCATGATCACACCACGCCATCATATTGGATCGCCTCTCCTCATAGTTTTCTCTTCATATGTCATTTTATTTGTTTATGAAATATTAAAATTATAGGATTTTTGTTTGAATAGGAAATCAACATTTGCATCGAAGTCAGATACTAGTCGCAGATATTCGTTAGTGGTGGTTTCGGTAGCCTTTTGTGAATTATTTGGTTTAGGGGCTGTTTGGTTATTTTCTAAAAAACCAAAAAATAGAAATGCAAATCAAAAAAACTCAAAAAGTACAATTTCACACATTTCCATCCCTAAAACTCAACCACAACATCTAATAAAATATTATTTTTATCCAACAACTCATCCATCACATCTAATAAAATATTATTTTCTATCCAACAACTCATCCATCACATCTAATAAAATATTATTTTCATCCAACAACTCATCCATCACATCCATCACATCTAATAAAATATTATTTCATCCAACAACTCATCCATCACATCCATCACATCTAATAAAATATTATTTTCATCCACAACATCACAGAACTCATCTCATCTCATATTTAAACTCACATCATCCAATAAGATTGTGACAACTCATCTCATCTCATTAACATTTCATTTCTTTGTTTTCCTCCTAAAAAGCTAGGAAAACAATTTTCTTAAGTGTGAGTCACATCATCCAATAATATAATGACAACTCATCTCATTTCATATATTTTCTTATTTTTAAGAAATAACCAAGCAAAAGAAAACAACCTATTACAAGAAATAGGTTTCTTATAATTTATTTCATTATTTTTTTCGCCAACCAAACAACATCAAAACAATTTTTCTTAAAAAATCACTCACATCATTCTATAATAAGGGCCTGTTCGTTTGCCTTAAAAAAAATGGGAAATCAAAGAAATGGAAAATGAAGAATTGTTTTGGAGTGTTCGGTTGGCTAAAAAAAAGGAAATCAAAGAAATGGAGATGAGATGAGATGAGTTGTCACATTATTATTGGATGATGTGAGTGATTTTTTAAGAAAACTAGTTTTGATGTTGTTCGGTTGGCGAAAAAAATAAGAAAATGAATTATAAGAAACTTATTTCCTGTAGTTTTCTTGTTTTCTTTTGTTCGGTTCATTCTTAAAAATAAGAAATGAAATGAGATGAGATGAGTTGTCATTGTATTATTGGTTGATGTGAAAAAAGATTAAGAAATGTGTTTTCACAACTTTTTGGGATGAAATGGAAGAAATAAAATGTTAATGAGATGAGGTGAATTGTTATAATATTTTATTCGATGATGTGAGTGATTTGAAATAATAAAAAGAGATGAGTTGAGTGATGTTTGGATGAAAATAATATTTTATTAGATGTGATGGATGAGTTGTTAGATGAAAATAATATTTTATTAGATATGGTGGATGAGTGGTTAGATGAAAATAATATTTTATTAGATGATGTGGATAAGTTGTTGGATGAAAATAATATTTTATTGGATGTTGTGGGTGAGTTTTAGGGATGGAAATGGAAGAAATGGGTTATTTTGAGATTTCCACTATTTCCATTTCCATTTCTTGCTTTTTTGAAAACAAACGAACAGGCCCTAAGGTGAAAACTCATCTTCATTTCTTTAATTTCCTTCTTTTTTTAGCAAACCAAACACTCCCAAAACAATTCTTTGATTTAATAGTTTTCCATTTCTTTGATTTTCATTTTTTTTAGACAAACAAACAGGCCCTTAGCAAACATTTAATTTCTTAGACTTGCATTTGCACGCAAACATGATACAATTAACCAACAAACTTGAAACCTAGCGTAACATTAACAAATCAAAGACTATATGTCCGCATTTACAATCAGCAAAAAATCAAATTTTAAGGATGCACGAGGAATGTGATAAACAAAATTTAAAAAGACTAAATTGTAAAAATATAATGAATGATTTATCAGACAATAGTCCAACATGGATCTGGACGCTCTCCACTACTAATAGGTAGCGAGACTCACGCTTCTAAATCAAGCCATCGACTGTTTATTAATTTGATGATTGTAGGCAGTTATAATTCATTCAAAACATAACACTTATCATAACCCTTGAATTGAGATTATTCATATTTTAAACACTAGAAGAAAAAACCACAAACATGAATTATACAGATTTTTTGTAAAAAGGAGAATTCAAATCTATCGAATAAACTACCTATCGTCAAACTCTATTTTATTCTGAACCGAATAGTACTAAAAACTATTTATATTGCTAACAATTTTAAAGCGAACCGTCAGTTAAATATTCGCTTCGTTTTCTCTCTCCTACTATCGTACTACTCTGTTGTCTTCTTCTCGGTATCCCACTTCACGAAACAAAACATTAGATAATATCTTTACAATATGTATATGCATTTATTTTTATGGGCAGTACTTCACAAATAACTCCAATGTCGCCTGATTTGTATTTTGTGTTTTCAAAACCTTTTTGTAACTTTAGGAGAAATTTTTTACTTTTTATCTACACAAGTTTCACTAAGGGGCTGTTTGGTTGTATGTTTTTACCATATAAAAGGATAGAAAGTGTAAAAAAATAGGTCTCAATGTTAGCTTTCATCACTTTACATTGTTTGTTTAAATTCTTTTTTACATGAAAAGCTTACATCTTTTGATGAGGTATTATCAAAAACAAAAACTTCAAAATTAGGAGTGATTTTGTTAGAAAGCTGACACAATGTCATAAATGAGTCCAAAAAAATATAAAAAAAAAGTCAAAACCTTGTAGAAATTAGTGAGGTAGATAACCACTTTTCATTTTGTGTCATAAATACTCTAGTTTACATTATACTATCCAAACAATATAATACTATTATTTTATAATTCACAAATATTCCTAACCAAACAATGTAAACACTCAAATAGAAAGTGATAAGGTGGATAACCACTTTTCTATTTTGTGTCATAAATAATTTAGTTTCCTAAAGACATCCAAACATCCCCTAAAGTCCCTAGTACCCATCTTTTCGAATCTTTTTAAACTTTTTACTCGGACCCACAACCAAACCTTTTTCTCTTCTTTTCACGCAAAACCCACATTCACCGATGAATCCAAAATTAAAATAAAAAAAAAATCTCAGAAGAAAAATAGAAGGGAAAACTACATTAATTAAACACCATCAAAGCATTCGCCATTACAATTAAGTTTGCATCTGAGCCATCAAACAACCACACCAACACACAAAAGCTCAATTAACCCCCAACCTGAGCTCGATCAGTGACAAAATATAACCTTGAGCTCTTTCGGGCTCTCGCACTCGTGAGTCAGGCTCGGGCTATCGTGCGCGTAGGTAAAAGTCGCCGGACACTTGTGCTTGAAAAATTCGGAATAAGTCGACGCCCTGCACGTCTTCGCGCTGTTATACATGTTCCTGCAGCAGAGCTCGTCCGTCCCGAACGCCTCGCACCCACTTTTACACCCAATCACGCCGTGTGGGCCCCTCAGCTGGAGGACGTCGGGGCACGTGGCGAGCAGGTTCTCCCTGCAGCCGACGACCGGGCAGTTACCTGTTGAAATACTCATTTGAAGTGCGTTACAAATTAAGGTGTTGTTACGTGGACTCAAAAACATGACACTCGTTATAGGACAAGTGAGTTGTCGGCTTCCTGTGTCATGATGCATTGTTCATAAACAATGGGACAGAAAGCCAACACCTCACTTGTGTCAGATAGGATGCCATGTTTTTGAGCCAAAAATGAAACTAACCCCTATAAAATTAGAATTAGAATAATTAAAAAATGTGAGATCGATGGTAACTAGCATTTCAAGAGACGGCCATAATTAATAATTAATAGCTTAATTAATTGGTTTTTATTTTTTTGGGTTAATTAACCGTGTAATCTGCCGTTACCTTTGCCTTCGTGGGGGGTAACCGTCATCGGCGTTTGAACCGTCGACGAGGCTGACGGAGTAGACGTGAAGTGGGTGGCCCGCGCCGTGGTGGAGGGTGATCTGCGCCAGACGTGGCGGGCGGGGAGCGCCCAGGCCGTTGCACTCGAGGCGGGACCCGCAGTCGCCGCGTGGCGCAGGTGAGCGGGTGCGGTGTGGGTGCAGCGGTGCCGGCCCAGATGCGGCCGCCGACAGTGGCTGGTGGGCGCGGGAAGGACTTGTGGGTCAGGGTCTGGAGGCAGAGGCCGCCGCGCTCGAGGACGGTGGCCGGAGTTGGGCTGGATCGCGGGGCAGATCGTGAAGGGGCAGTTGTTGACCAGGGTGAGGGTCATGGGCTGGGAGGCTGAGCGCTGGAGTAGGATAAGGAGGGAGGAGATGAGGAGGAGGGGAAACGAGGAGGCCATTCTGAGTCCAGCTTGGGCGCTTGAGGGTGGGGGGCATGGTGTTGGCGTTTTATAGGAGGGGTGGAGGGTTTTTGGTTTGGTTTGGTGTGGTGTGCTGCCGGAGCAGGGGATAATGTCCTACCATGCTCTCAGTACAAATTACAACGAATTTTTAGGGACGCTCACAGTACATCTCCGAATCTCTAAAAATTTACGTATGTTTGCAATTACGCGTCCTTACTTGTATTTGAATGACACTTACATACCCTCGAGTTTTTTAAAACTTGTACGTATATACTCGTCTTAGTTTTGACAGCGCTTGATATACCTTTGAGATTTTAAAACTTAAAGGTACTTAAGTGCAAGATTTAAAAACTTTAGAATATTTTAATGCGTGTTTTCAAACTTTAGGATACGTTAGTACACGTGTTTTAAACTTTAGGTATATAAATGCGGCTAAAGTGACGATATAAGTATAAATAACAAAAACTTTCTGTCAAGGACAAGTGAGGATACATGAGTAACAAAAACTTTTAGGTATATGAATGCTGCTAAAGTGACAATAGAATATACTTTAGGTATATTAGTGCTGTCAAGGACGAGTGAGGATACATGAGTAAGTGCAACTCTTAAAAACTTTAGGTAATGATTAATAAATGAACTTATGTGTAACTGTGATGGATTATGGATATGGTTTTTGGGGTGGGTATGCGTAAGGGTGGGGGGTTTTTGGGTTAACCTGGTGGTGCGGGGTTACCAAGGAGTCTCGAGGGTTCGTGAAAGGAGACAAGGAGGTGTTCCCTTTAGCTTGTTTTAGTGCTGGTCATTTTTAAATTTATTTTGCTTTTTGTTTGAATTTTAATTAATACTTTTATGTTTTAGCTGGGTTTGTTGGTCGATGTTCTTGGCATTTTAAGGGGGGTGTTTGTTTTAAATCTTATAAATAAATTTTATCATGGGATTTGAAATATATAGGTGTTTTGTTATGGGTTGAGATTTCTAAAATGTTATTTATTTCATTAATATTTTGGAATTTAAAATATTATAATTTGTGATCTTTTGTTTGTTTAAAGCTCAAATCGTCGCATTATCAAATGCTAAAATTTTGTAATATGATGAATATGCTATCTTGGTGAAGTTACCTTCCACAAAAAGACAAAATTAAGATTTGCCAAATCCTCTCCAATTGAGAGGTAAGCACACACATATATGAGATTTGTTAAAATCATCTCGAATTGAGAGGATTTGGCAAATTTTACAAATTAGGTATTTTTTATACTTTTGAGATTTAATATTCTAATTTTTTTTTTTAAAAACAAACACCATATATGGAATCCCAAAATACAAAAAACCTCATTTTTTGATTCTAAAACTTATAATCCATACCAAATGCCAAAATTTTAGGTGAAACAAACACCCACTAAGCTAAAACTCTACATTTTCTTTGGGGAAAAAGAAGGGGAAAAAATAGCTTGAGTAGAATTTTATCATTTATTGATACTTGATAGTTCCTGTTGAGTAAAAAGTTACATGTCATCACACTACTTAGCATTTACCTACTTAATTATTATTTTTTTACCAGCAAACTGATGCCGGGCCCACTGTTACAAAGAGTAAACGTGTGGTGTATGGGTGCGGAAAATGGCAAGAGTAATTTATTTGACATGGTCCAATAATGCTGACCGCTACACAACAAGGTTAGCATGATGATAGACGATAAAGAAAACATTTGACTGAAATGAAATCTGAGAGCACACAGAGAGAGAGTGAGTGTGTCTGCCACGGTGGCAGAGGATAAGGACCCATATGAGCCGTCCATATCAATCCATCGATGGGCTCTATTTAGCAGTAGATTCTGACTGTAGGACTAATAGGAGATTATGATAAGCGAAACCTTTAATGTGATTATTATTAGGAGAACTTATATGGGTGGTAGCTACAGGATTCAAACACATGAGGCCTTACATGTGACAGGTGAGTTTCCTGTCTCATGATGTACCGTTCAAAAACGTAGGACCCTACATGTGACAGATGATGTGTCGGTTCCCTGACCCATGATGCACTGTTCATGAACAATACATCATGGGATAGAGAGCCGACATCTCACCTGTCACATGTAGGATCCTATGTTTTTGGATCCCTAAGACATTTTTCAACTTATATTATGTTCTATGGCTGACCAAACGGACCTAAAACCCGGTCGGACCTGATTTTCATGGCTTTTCCAGGCACAAAAAAAAAAGCCAGGACTATTTTTGGGTTGGGTCCACACCATGAGTTTTTTGGACAGTCCTACGTATACGTGCAATTCAATTTCAAGCAATGTACTTAACTAAAATAAACGTAGCTTGAATATACATTATTCCTTGAAAAGGGGATGTGGACAACTTCCGTGTAAGTTTACGAGAGTATCCCCAGTTGATCTTATGGATTTCTAACATAAACATCTTTAATTTGTGATAAATAAATATCCTTTTAGTAGTAACTAGTATAATGTACATGCTTTGCACGTGGCGTCTTATATTAATACTATGAACTTGTTTTGTGAACTAAAAAACAAAGATTTGGAATATACTAAAAGATAAAGATTTAAAACTAACTAGAGATACCTAATATCCTCTGTTACATTTTTTTGTCAATTGTTTCCATTTCAAGCAATTTCTGAATTTCAAAAAGGATGAGCTTGCTTTGTGATTGCAGCGAATAAGGCAATAATATTGTACAATGTTGGGTTATTGTTATCTTAGAACCAACATAAACCTTTCATGTACAACCAATAAAATATAAACATTTTATGGAAGAATTATAAATGCTTGAACCACAACACGTTGCATATCAGTTGGAGTACAAATAGAGAAGCTTGGCCGATCCTGAACCCTCATAATAACGATCCAATATTTCTTCTTAAAGCAATGCATACCAATCGCTTGATGTCTAGACCTCTCATCTCTTACTCTTGCACTCTTTTCAGAGTTCCTATAAAATCTAAGCCAATGCAAATGTCTCTCAATGTGTCTGAGCCCCATTGAAACTATAGAGGGTGTGAACCACCATCACCCTTTAAAACATTGCATAAGAGCACTTGATATTGAAAAATATTACTGGACCCTTACTTGGAAGCCAGGTTGACCTTTTAGTAACATGAAAAAGAGTTGCTACGGTTTTTGTTGTCGGTCCACATTTCGGCATTGACAACGTAGCACTTGAGATCATTGAGCACTACTTTGAGTACTTCGGATAGAAGCATGGGTCTGTTAGTGGTCAATGCCCATTAACTCAAGTATAGTCTTTGTACAACAAAACACTAACATCAGTTTCTTTTAATGGAAGGAAATAAATATGTATTTTCTCAATAGACCGACATCAAAGTAAAATTACAAATAATAATAAGATGTGGTTGTATATATAAGCATATAAAAACCGAGGCTATGGAGGATTATAAGGGTTTCTCTCTTCTCTTTTATTTACTTGGTGGAGATTGTATCACAATATTGTATATGAGAGAATCCTCTCATAGGATATGTAATACTCATTATTCTCGTAGAGGATATTGCTTTAGTGCACCAAGGAAAAAAGAATTTAGAAGTATGAGATGGACATGATTTAAATCTATCGGTATGTATGTAATTGAGCTGAGGAGTAAGGTTGCTAATATTATTTGTTAAAATATGTATATATGTGATATGAGTTAGCTTGTTTGCATATAGGTACAATATTTAAATTTCTCAAGGGAAATAGCTTAGTGTTTGTATACATGATATATGATTTTTTTATCCAAATTTTGTTCACATCTCTATCTATGACATTGAATAGTAAAAAATAACATTTAGCTACAATTCTTAACATGACTTGTATTCTGTGTGTATGCTTTAGTTCTACCGTATAAGCTTACCACTTACCGCCATGAACCAACCGTCATATGAAGATATATAGACTTTGATTATGATCCTGTTCAAGCTAGTGAAGATTTGGATAATGAACTCCTAAGAGTGTCATGTTTATTCAAACTATTCACGTAAGAGAGAGAAAATTTGTAAATATCAACATTTAGACAAGTAAATAGTAAATTGAGTACAAATCAGAAGCTTGGATAAAATTTTCCCCAAATTACTATCACATTATCACAATAATCGTTGGCAATTACAACCCTCCATCATAAAAGAAAATGGGTATTAGTATGAGATACATAAAAAAATGCATAACAAAAATTCTCTTAAAAACTTAAAACTATGGTAGGTGAGAGAGAGAGAGATAGGAGGAGAGGTTTAATTGCAACATATTAGATGCATGGAATTGTAAGAGAAGGGTCACTGCTTTTTAACCACATGTAATGTATATTAGTATGAGATACATAAAAAACACATAACAAAAATTCTCCTAAAAACTCAAAACTGTGGTAGCTGAGAGGGAGAGATAGGTGGATAGGTTTAATTATAACATATTAGATGTATGGAATTGTAAGACAAGGGACACTGCTTTTTAACCACATGTATTAATATTAGTCCACGTGATATTAGCATAAAAAAAATAAAACAATATAATATATCCAAAAAATGTCAACAACTTGCACGCGTAACATATTTCTATCTTAGAAATAAAGGATGGTATCATGAGTCCCCTCTTCCTCATTGACTGCATTTCACATGTAAAAGATTAATTAAGGTTGTTTGAACCCCCTAAATATTGACATGTAGTTTGATGAGATGTTTATAGAAAAGAAAAGGAAGGTTATGATATAAGAATTTAAAGAGATGGAGAATTATATGCATGATTAGTCATGAGGATACTAAAGATGATTAATGAAGATAATGGATGAGTAAAGAGGCGTGCGTAAATGGGAAATTATTAAAAATTCTAATGGAAGAGGTGTGCATTAATGAGAAATTATTAAGAATTCTAATGAAATCGTGACATGTATGTATGCTATCGCATATAAGTAGATATATATAATTGGAATTATCAAATTTAAGAGGGATAAAAAGGATATTCAAAAGTTTTAACACACCAATCCGATTAATCTGTGAGCGAGGAACACAGGGGGAAGTCTGACTCAGCATCACGTGGGTGAGTTCAGACATTCAGAGAATCTGTCTGTGGCTCGCTAATCTAAAACTATGCTAATCTAAAACTATCAGCAGCCATTTTTATTTAACTTAATTAATTTAGAGAGAGAGAGGGAGAGAGCGCACGCGTTACTAAGAGTGGCCGCTTTAATCTGACCGACTCGTTTCGCGAGTCCAAACCCAAGTCCCCACCATAACAAAGAAGATTCGACAAAGCGTGCAGTTTATGGAAACCGGAGCGATTTACACATTAATAAAATTAAGAGCTTTGCTACAGGGACCCAAAATATAGGACCAATAGATGGGACAAATGAGGTGTCCCCCTCTTATTGGATAATGAGTTGGCCATCATTAATGATGCCAACTCATTATCCAATAGGATGGGGACACCTCACTTGTCCCTTATATTGGTCCCATATTTTGGGTCCTTAAAGAATTTTTCTAAAATTAATTCCGTTTTCGAAACGAAAAATATTTACACGCTACACTTTTATTGCTGTTATCGGAGTTTCACGTACAGGACAGAACAAAACATGACGTGTATCTCGTGCACAGTTTCAAAAGAGCTGTGACCATTGTGCTGTACAGTTTATAATACACTATTTCTAATATAGTTAAAAATCTAGAAAGTAGGGTCCACGCCTCCACCGTAACTCAAGAGTTTTTTTAAGGAGATGTTTGGTTGTATGTTTTCACCGTGTAAAAGGATGGAAAATGTAAAAAAGTGGGTCCCAATGTCAGCTTTCACCATTTTTAATCGTTTGTTTGTAGTTGTGAAAATAATGTAAGGCTGTGTTTGGGAACTTGGATTTGGATTTGGGAAGTTGATTTAAAATCAAGGGATTTTAAATTTAGGATTTGAAATCCATGATTTAAAAAATCTTTTGTTTGGATATCTTTATTAAATGAAAGTATTTGAAATCTTTGATTTCAAAATCTAGTGTTTGGGTACTTTATTATACATGAATTTGAATTTAAAATTAATAAAAATTTATTCTCTTAACCCATCTTGTTTACATCAAATGCAGATCTCTGCCACCATATATTACCAGATGCTTATGGCCATTATTAGTCTGTTACCATATATTATCACAAAATAGTCGAGTAACACGTACATGTATTAATTACATCGTGATTATTCCATGCTCATTGAAGAACACAAACCAGTATCAAATGAATATCAACAAAACAGAATCAGACACCGCAATGAAAGGCTAGCTGGCAAAAATACATATATTAATTACATCGTGAATATTAAAGGGCAAGCACAGTATAACCCAGCAAACAGAATCAGACAAAACAGAATAATGGCAATAACAGACTTCAGAGTATCAACAAAACAGAATGAAGGCTAGCTGGCAAAAATAAGATCTTAATTATTACACATAGCGTTCTGATACCAATTTTGTTTCATTCCCCAAACTGACATCCCGGTTCACCTGATATCGGATTCATTACCTTAAAGCTTCAGCAAACCTGGCAACACAGCAAGTAACAAGGATAAGTTCGGAGAAGAAAAAGCGTGACAATATATTCAAGCATTCTAATTATCCTCTTGTCCAATTAAAATACTAAGCACAATGTTAGATAAGCAACAACAACATTAACCAAGGATCAGTTACTGGATTAATTAGGTTCACTGTTAGACCATCAGATATGATAATTAGCAATAATGCAAATAGTCCTGAAATAAATAAAATGCTTACTGGTCCTGCACTCGCAAATAACATGGAGTTAAAAGATTGTGATTCATCCAGTATATACATATAGTTACAAAGTGTTTTACTTGAAATTGTAACATCAAACAATAGTTCAGTTTTTGAAACACCTAAAACAAGGAAGAGCCTGTAATAGGAAAAGACCATTCCCCCTTCATAATAAACAAGAAATCATCAATATTTACACTAGAAATTAAAGAATCTAAAATGGGGTTTTACTAAACAATGATGGTTATTTCAAGTAAAGAAACAACCCCTAGAAAGCATAAGACTGGACCATTTGTTCCCAAATGTGACTTGACTGCTACCAAGTCGAATGCATCATACAACAATTGGCAGTGTATCAGTGAATCAACAGTGTGTCAGTGACGAATTCAAGGATTATGGAAAGCAGAATCCAGTAAATCAACAGCGATCAGATTATGCGTCGATCCCGTTCAGATATCCTATTACTAACTAATTTGATCAGAATAGAGGAAGAATGCTAAATAAACAGGAAGACCGTGGGCTCCAAGACCAGAATTCTACAGTGAAAAAGTCGGAAACACACACTTGTCGAATAGGGTTTTATTTCATGGAAATTTTGATCACATCAAATAAGCAAAATAAAACCAGACACAGACATTGAATTCAATTAACCCGATTTCATCAAACACCTGCGCTGCATAGTGTATGCCACTGAGGAAAAGAATATGGTCTCAATGGACTTATTTCAACCAAGTTCCTCTATGGAAAATATTAAAATATACTTGGTGATGTGGAAATTAAATTTAAATGAGCTGTGTATGAATACACCAACTAAAATACACTCATACATGTCTCCATCTTGGAGGTGTTACTATTTTTTTAATTTAATTGAAACTGTATATGCTGACTCAAATAATGATAAAACACAAAACGACATAAAAGAATGTGTACATAATAATATTCCATGTTTATATATTATTCAATTTCATAATCACCATCACTTGTTTAATTTATCTGTGAATAGACACAAGAAAGGGCATCCACATTGGCATGAGGGTTTTGCTTATTCTAGAAGATATTAATTAAGTTTTGTGTATCAGTTTCTATACTAACCTTTTTATATGATTTTTGCAAATTTTGATCTCTCATGTAACTCAAATATACAACCTGAAAATACAGTGAGAAGTATTCTAAAAGATGCAACCATTCGGTATAATCCTAGGCATTACTTCGAAAAGGTTTCTCACTAGAGTAACCACATAAATGTATCCAAAATTAGTAGGTATCGATTTCTTAAAATAAATCATAAATACTACTGCAGACTAAGTACATACCCTCAAGACGTTTTATTTATTCTAGTGTTAAGACTTGCTTTCACACCTATGAATGATATATATCCAAACCTGTCAATTTATGAGAGAACTGTAACAGAAATTAACATCACTTTCTACTTAGCTCAGCCATATCTATTACATATTTAGTCTTGTGAAGTTACTGTACAAAACAATAGTGTCAAGGGAGATGTGCGAGTTGAAATTATACTTGAAAAGAAATAGACTGGCACAAACCTAATGAAAGATACATTTTAGAAATGCATCATAAAAAGAACAGAATTCTCAATAAAATGAAAAAATTGTACCTTTGAGATGAGACAAGCACTCCTTACTTGAATTAGCTAAGAATCCACCAAGGGTTTAGAAAGAAACGGCAAAGAAAGATCATCAACAAAACTAATCTGCAGTTTAAAGAGAGAGAAAACATAATCTTTACTATGTGCAATAAGATACTACTCACTACAGTGGCTTTAGTTGAGAATTCGAAGAATAAGAAGAAGAAAGGCTCGTTACTTAATCATGATTAAATTCTATTTAACACTATAAACTATTGGAAAAATCTCATAAACCGCGTTGACTGAGAGAGTTATATCTTAAACCTCGCCCATTCTCTTCTAATAAAGAGCAATCTGTCCAAATTTCCCATTGTATGAACAACATTCCCAAACACAAGGAAACAAAAGATTAGAGTTTAGATGATACAAAAGTTTGCATCATCTAGTAAAAGTTTGCACTAGAATGATGGAATCATGGCATCCCGAGCCTGGGTCTTGTAGTATGAAAATAATTGGCATTACTCTTTGGCTCTGGCTCAGTTGTTTTATTATGCTAAAAAATGGTTAGCCTGCTAAGATTCATGAATACCGTAGTCGGGGGAGACCTCATACACGCCACAAGATATGTATGGCTTCTTACTTATTTTAACTCACAAGCTTGACTTTTACTTCAATTAAAAAGAGATAAATATCGATGTCAAATGAAATCCGAAAGCATAGCATCTGTAATCCAAGCATAACACAGCAGCACAATTTGTGAAATCACCTTCATTTCATTGTAAACAATCATACATTATGAACAATCATTTCTTTACTATCACATGACCAAACTTAGGAACCAGAAAAATATATGTAGTCGTGAGTGACATTACCATAAATAGTTACAACACATAGGTGAAAGTGGACTTTCACACAGCAAATGACACTCTCGATTACTTCAACTTCACTAGAAAACCACTTCCGAGATGCATACAAATGCCGTTTTTCTACAAGTAGATGTCATAGATACTTGGACAGTGCTTATCTACCCTAAAGTTTTTCAAAAATACACTTAAATATTGTAAAGTTCTTAAAACTTGCGGTTCAACAAAATGCATGCAAGTGGTCACTGGAAATAAACCATGGTTGCTGATAATTAGAATGCTCTCGTTTCTGAAATTAATTATTTCAAGTTGTAACTACGGCTGGTTACTATTTTTTTAATTTTTAATCAATGATATAAAATTAAGCATACTAGCACACAAAGTTCTCAAAACTTTCCCAAGGGGGGGGTAGGGGGAGAGAGAGAGATCGAAACCAGAGAGAGAGAGAGGCGATCGCGACTGGAAAAGAAATAGAGGATCGGGTTGGATTTGAGAAATAGAGGATCGGGTTGGATTTGATAAATAACAGGGGGTTGGGTGGAATTTGAAATCAGATCTTTTGGGCTTTCAAATTCCTCTTTGTTAAATCAATTGATTTAAAATCTAGACTTAAATCAGAATCCAAACTAGATATTTGGATTTGAAATACCCTGGATTTTAAATCCAGGCCTAAATCCAAGTTCCCAAACACAGCCTAAAGTGATTTCATATGCTAAGATGGCTTGTAAATTGATTTCATAAAAAGAAAGACATGATTTTAGGAGAAAGCTAATATTGAAATCATGAAAAAAAAAATAATTCAAACCAATATGATCATCAAAATGTCTCGTACAATTGTTAGTGGTGGTGAAAAACTAGCTTAAAACTTATACTGCAGTTAGCAAATTCCACTGATGATAAAGATTATGCTTCAATACAAAATGGCTGAAAGATCAAATTGGTCCCTATACTAGGGCCTTATATTCAAATTGGTCCCTCCACTTTCTTTTTTCTCAATTTAGTCCTTATACCTTTTTGTGAGATGTAACCTTATTTCTTTTTTAAGTTTATGTTAAATTTTCCGTTAAATAAAATTTCAAAGGACAGTACTACGCTCTGGATTTCTTTTCTAAAAAAAGATTAAAGGATTTTTAGAAAACCACCCTCAACTATAAACCAAAAGTACAAGGACTCCTTGAGGGTGATGTCATCATATATACGAAAAATTAACACTATATTTCTCATGGAAGTTAAAAAAAAAGAGGCTTAGTTTGTAGCTCAAGTGCCGTAGGGGGGCCGCATTGAGAAAAAAGAAAGTAAATGGACCAATTTGAGTATGGAGCCTTAGTACAGGGATCAAATGGACAATTTAGCCATACAAAACCTCAGGAACTATTCAATAATTTTTCTTTTACTTGATTGTTCATGCAATAAAAGTTATTTAGTCTTAGATTAATGCAGATTTGAGGGTTTTGTTTTAGTTTGATACACCAACTTGAGTGTCATAAATCCTATTAGAATTCCCCACCACACGGTGAGGGTTGCTGATAGGTTAAGGAGGGCAATGAAATATCATCACTGACCCCCTCCTCCACCTATGTCTGGCTCAGAACGCCCCGCACGGTGTGGAGTGTTCTTAGAGAACCCACAATCCACCAACTTAGCCTGTTAATACAAGCCATCATATAGTCTTCCCAATATCTCCCCATAATTACGATGACACGAGAGTCCATGTGAGATAAAATTGGGCTTCAATTGGGTGTCTAGGCCCATGGGCCCAAATATACTTCCAAAACGGGAATATTTGCGTTCAACCATCTAGTAAGGAAAGAGAAGGGGTTGGTAACTGATATAGAATTTTGTAGATTTATAGGGTTAATTGTATTAAATTATAGAAGTTCGTAATGTCATCATCATCACCAACAGCTGTTAATCGACAGATTAACTGGGCTAATTGCATCCCCCCACAACCCACAAAGAGAGGGTAAATTCATATTATCATATTACCATTCCATGTGAAAATGAGCCAAATTAATGAAGATGAGTTGTATTCATGACCAACAACAAGAGATTATGCAATCAACAGAAGGTAAGTTTTCTTTCGAATCAATCCATCGCATAAAAAAGCATGTCGAACGCGTATATTTTACAGGTAAATATTTTTCATATATATAAAATATGAATTTGCAAAGCTAGTAATATAAGAAGATTACAAGCGCAACAAAAGATCTTAGGGGGAAAAAAAATCAAGCTACAACCAAAGGATCGACTTAATTCATAAACTAACCAAAGTCATTATAAATTCATAAATAACGTTTTAACCAAACGACCACCAATCAATCCAACATAATTAAAACATCCTAAAACAACAAAAGAGATGCAACAAAAACTACTCCAAAAACCAGAGAACCAGACACTGTCATTAAACCAGCACCAATAACGTCCGCCGGCGGCGCCGTCGCCGGAGCTCCGAGCTCCGGCTGGTCCATCAAAAACCGGCAATGGAGCCCCCGACGGTGACACGGTAGGTGAAGGCGACGGAGCCGGCGAAGGCGACGGAGGCTGCGAAGGCGACGGAGCTCCTCTCAACGGGGACGGAGAAACCGAGGGAGGCCCACTGATAAAGCTGGGACCCGGCGCCGGTGAGTAGGCCGGCGGCTGGGCCCCCCTTGAGGGCGGGTGTGCATGATGGTGTGACAAAGTTGGTGCGATTAACAAAGCTAGTAATATGCTCATTTGGACCATGAACGTATTCATATTGTTGAATTTGAAATATTTTTAGAGAGAGAGAGAGAGAGAGAGATGTGGGATCTTTGAAGAAGGGTCAGGGGTTTATATAGAGATTAAGGGTAACGCGAAATTGGAAATGTTGGTAATTGCTAATTAGATTACAGTTAATTGGTTGCTAATATATGAATAATTGGTGATTTAATTCTTACTTTATATTGCCGCGAACGTTATGATGCAGGTCATCACGAATGCATGAAGGATATAAAAGGGAGAATTAATAAATGGTAAGTTCATATTCCATCTTAGTGACGTGTAAAATATTTCTTATAACACTTCCCCACCTGCGCGGATGCATGTGCGAAAACATTAAATTTATTATCCAAATTATTTTCTATAATACATGGTAATAATTCGATTATGATTTAATTTATGTTATGTTATTATAAAGTTCTATGTAGAAATTGTATCCCGAACTATATATTCTTTAGTAATTAAATCAACAAACATTCTTAATACAATTTTCTCAAGGAGTTTTCTTTTGAGGATAATATAATTAGGGGGTTTTTGGTTGCATAATTTTATAGATTTTTTTTTTCAAAATGTCTGACAATGGTAATTCTGTAATTAAAATTTTCTGTAGATTTTCGTAAACTGTGTTTGGTTCAAAAATAATTACAGAAATGTTTTCTGTAAAGTACAAAAAAGTACCAAAATTTACAGAAATCAATTAATTTTCTCTCAAAATGTACGAAAATCACTCAGAAATCTGACACCACATTGACACTTTTCTATAACGTTGACACTTTTCTATAAATTTAAGGGGTGTTTGGTTCAATTTTTACAAATATTATAGAATATATTGTTATTTTCTATAAAGTTATGGGCAATTCTCTTATTTTGAACCAAACAAGCAAAGTAAAAAAACAAAAAAATTGGTATTTTTTTGACTTCTCAAAACTTTTTCTATAAATTTTAAAAAAGAAATACAGGGAAATCATATTTTTGATGGAAAACTTTTCCTATAATTTGTAGAAATTGAACCAAACACCCCTTAGAGCAACTAATTAACACAAAAAAGAAAAAGAAAAATAGAGAAGGTTTTAATTTAATTATGTGAGTGTCTATCTTATTCTGATTTTATGCTTTAGAATGTTCGAGAAATATGAAAGGAAAAAAAAGAAAGAAACTAATGAAGACATCTTGTAACATCATTCTCCCTTTAAAAGAGGGTGTACTAGAAAAACTTTTCCTACCCCAAAATACCCTTCATCTATCATAAATATAACAAAGTTATCCCTTTTTTTCCCGTTACGCAGAAATTAGAAAATCATGAGCCCTAAACCTTCGTTCATTTTATTCTTCATTCCGTCGGTTACGACTTCACTCTGGCAACCATTCCATCGGTTACGATTTCGCTCTGACAACATCGTCCCCCTATCTTGTTTCATCAATTGTAATAGATGATTATTATTATCCCCATCATCACCAAACCTTCTCTGCCATCATCTCCTCAAATCCAAATTTTAGGCATCAGGAAGGATCACGAAGGAAACTCATTGACGAAGTTTTTTATCAGAGAAAATATTCGGATATGATTGATCCTTTTCTAAATTTTGCTTATGATTTTTAAATTTCTTTCTCTATGCACTTTATTTCTTGATTATTAGATTTCAAATAACATTAGCTATGGTATTTTCATATGTGGATGTTCTTAGATTTTCTAAATTTATTAATTCCATTCTGAAATATTCGCATACAGCCCCATTAAGGATCCACAAAAAAAAAAGTAATTCATCAATTGATTCATTACATTTTGGAATTAAGACTAACACCAACCTAATTTTTGGTATGAAGCAATTTAATTTCTATGCATTAGAATTTAGTTTCTTTTATTGTACTGTAATTATTTTTTATGGCAATTAATATTTTATTAATTTCTTTAGTTTTCATAAAGTATTTATAGGATTATGTTTAATAAGATACAATTAACCGAGAGCATAATAATTGTATAATGACATGATCTGAACTCATGATAATATTAAAAATTACATTTATTACTGTGCTTGAAGCTACAACTGTTGAAAACATAATATACAACGCAGCGGAAATTACATATTATGTAGATTAATCAAAATTGAGTAAAATCTAGAAGAGTACCTGAAACGCTTTCCAAAATTCTTCGATAATCTATCCCAAGATCAATACAAAATAACTTCCTTAAGAGAAAAAACATCCAACTAAAATCCACCCGTCACCGAAGAGGAGCAATACTGAGAGATAGGTTCTCAAAATCTAGTTCCCCTTTTTTAATTTCTGTTTCTTATTCTTCTTACGGCTACATATGAATCTTATATATAGGATTGGACCTACCTTATAGATTTCAATTTCAAAACAATTATCAATTATGTAATGTTTGTGAGGTATATAACTAAATAACCCTATCACATCAATATTGTAGTTTTCGCTAGCCAATATTTTTTTAATGGTTTCCATTAGCAAGCATTAGGGAATGCATGCTGCAAAAAATGCGGACAAAAATTTTCCCAAAAGAAAAAAAAGAAAAAAAGGGGATATATTGTCTAGGGCTGTCCATCCGGGCCGGCCCGGCCCGGCCCGGCCCGGAAAACCGGGCCCGGGCCGGGCAAAACCCAAGCCCGGACCCGGGCCCGGGCCCGGGCCTGAGCGGGCCGGACACCGGGCCGGCCCGGTTTGATTTTTTTTTAGAATTTTTTTTTTAAATTTTAACAAAACCATAAACCATAAATTATTATAAAAAATGTCATAAATTTAATTAATAGCTTGAAATGAAATGACATAAATTACAAGTACAAAAAATGATAAAAATAACTTCTTTATTAATAATCGGTAAATCCTTTACAAATCCTTTACAAGTATAAATTTATTTCGAAATTCGTCGCATCACAATAGATGAGTACATCCCAACTAGGTTGGCACCTACTCACCCATATCACTATCATTTGCAACTTTTTTCGAAATAATTTAATTCAAATTTAAAGCTAAGAAAACAAAATTACAATTTTATGAATATTATCTAATCATTATATCTATCTGCTAGTCCCAACTCTTCAAATTTATCTTCAATCATAGCAATCCGTTCGATGCCTTGTGTTCGCTTCTCGTATCTCCACCAATCCTGTAAGCACATCACCGCTTGTACAGTATACGGATCTAAGCATGTCCTGTGGTCGTCGATCAAACGTCCTGCTGTGCTGAAAGCGGATTCCGAGGCTACAGTCGAAACCTGCACTGATAGTAAGTCACGAACCATGGTGGAAAGTATAGGATATGAAACTGATCCATATACTTTCCACCATTGCAAAATATCTAAAGCATTTCCTTGACATCTAACTAAAGAAGCAGAAAAATATTCATCTATTTCAGAAACATCTAATCCTGATGAAGTTCCAGATCCACCAGTTAGTTCAGCTACCATTGCATACCTATCAAAACTTACACTTTTACCTCGACCTGTGCTCGAAGCTGAAGGTGCCGAAGCTGAAGACTGTTGTGTAGCTACACCATATCTAGCTGCATACTCATCATATAAGGTTTGAAAATAATTTCTAATAGCTAAATAATGAGTAGTAGCAGTAAGGGTGGATCCATCATCTAAGTCTATAATCTGTCCACCATACAATGATTGTAACAAACTTCGAAGGCCAATTTCCTTCAAGCATGGATCAATAAGAACACCAATACCAAAAATATGAGGAATAGGCCTAAAATACTTATTAAATTTACTCTCAATTTCAAAAATTATACTTCCAAAAATATCATCCATACGATATTTTGTAATTTTTTTTTGAATATTTAAAATTTGTAAAGCAGCTAAAGTAATAGTTGGATAATAACAACCAGATAATAACATAGTAGCATCATAAAAAACTTGTAACATCTCATTTAATTTACATATAACTGTCCATTCCTCTTCAGTTATTCCATAAGCACTACCAGAGCTAGAACTAGAAGCATAAAAATTTATAAAATCATTTATAATTTCTTTATATTCTATTGCTACAGATAACATTGCATAGGTGGAATTCCACCTATGGTCAACATCTTTTGGAATTAGTCTAGGCTTATAATTTTTTCTTTTACAACATTGTTTCCATCTTTTAATTCTCATTTCAGAAGCATTATGCATATTAGTAACTGTTCTAACTTTTTCTATCATGGGTTTAATTTCAGAAAATGCACTTTGAACAATTAAATTTAAAATATGACAGATACATCTAACATGAAAAAGCTCACCATGACATGGCAATGACAAAGTTATTTTCAGAAAATCAACAGCTACATTATTATTACTTGCATTATCTAGTGAAATAGTAAATATTCTTTGATCAATTTCTAGTTGTCCAAGTTCTTCAACAATTAAATTTGCAACATTAATACCAGTGTGTGACTCTTCAATTGCAATAAAAGAAACAACTCTTTTAAACATTTTCCAACTTTCATCAATCCAGTGTGCTGTTATACATAAATAACCAATTTGCACTCTAGATGACCAAATATCAGAAGTTAAAGAAAATTTACAGTTTAAATTTTTAAAATAAGAAATTATTTTTCCCTGTTCCTCAACATAATATTTTAAAATATCACGTTGACAGGTTTGACGAGAAAATTTTGTAAATGCAGGATAAAAACCATCTCTAAATAAATCTTCAAATTCATCATCTTCTACTAATTTAAAAGGAAGGTTTTTAAGAACAATAAACCTGATTACGCATTTCCGGGCTCGGGCAGCGTCATAATTCCAACTGCCGAGGGTACCTGAAGAGGATGATTGGGAAAGCATAGACTGCCGGATATCACCTTGTAGATTTTGGCCTTTGTTGTGTTTTTCAATATGCCGTTTGAGATGGTTGGTGCCGCTCTTATGATGAGCTTTGAATATCTGGCCGCACAACGCACATTTCGCATTCTGAGAGATGATCCTACCGTGTTCATCCTTGGTGACGTCTATCTTCTCAAAAAAATTCCATACATCAGACCTCGGCCTTTGCCCTGGCAACGGTCACGCTTGTGACCGTTATGGCCGGGCCGGGCCGGCCCGGCCCGGCCATTCGAAGCCACAGTGCCTTTTTTCGGCACTGTTCCGGGCCCGGGCCGGGCCCGGACGTGGCTCGCCAACGGCGACCTGGGCCCGGACCCGGGTTTTGCCCGGGTTTCCGAGCCCGGGCCGGGCCCGGGCCCGGGCACGACCGGGCCGGGCCCGGGCCCGGGCACGACCGGGCCGGGCCCGGGCTCCGGGTTTTTTGGACACCCCTAATATTGTCCCCCATCTGATTATTATTTGCTAACTCTTGATTTTATTTGGACTTTCTCCCGATGTTAGATGGTGTTCGGCCCGGCCCATTTAAACCGCGAGTCCAGCATCTATACCGCACGTGTGCATGTACGAAAGCCTCATTTCCTAAATTACTCCTACTCCTTTATTCTATTTACCACATCAGCCGCCAGCTCTTTTTTCTCTTGACACGTAAGCCTCTAATATGCGTTTTATTTACGCTAACACTTGGGAGGGGTAATTACGGAAGTTAGTGTTAGCAATAAATAAGTAAAAATGAATATAAATCATTCGAGAAAGGGAAAAATTACAAAATAGACCGTTTTTATGAAATATATAGCGAAATAGACCATTTTGAAAAATAATTAGCAAAATAGACCTCTTTTTGGCCAACAGGCCAAAAAGAGGTCTATTTTGCAAAACAGCTCAGAAAACATACGGGACTAGTAGTCTCGTATGTTTTCTGAGTCACTAATCCGTGATTAGTTGGCTCTAAACATACGGGACTAGTAGTCCCGTATGTTTTCTGAACCTTGTTTTTCAAAATAGACCTTTTTTTTTCAAAAGAGGTCTATTTTGATAATTATTTTTCAAAATGATCTATTTCGCTATATATTTCATAAAAATGATCTGTTTTGCAAATTTTCCCTTCGAGAAATTACCTATGTCCAGCGCTGTTCTCTGACTCTCTCCCCCTCTCTTCAGTTCGTCTCCGCGTTTCCATTCTCATTGTTTTTCTCGATTTCTCTCGCCGAAAACCTAACCCTAACCCTAGATTTCGATCGATTGATTAGGTTAAATTGGTGCAATGAGCTTCTTTCGTAGTGTTACGGCGCTCTCGAAGCTCCGATCTCGCCTCGTAAGCGAGCGCCTTGTTAACCGATTTTTTTCTTCTTAATTTTGAGGTGAAATGATACCGAGATTTATGCGATGATTTATTTATTTATTTGATGAATTTGGTTGTCTAGGCTCAGCAGTCATCTACTCTGGGCTCGGTTCGTTGGATTCAAATCCAGAGCGCGTCGGATCTTGTGAGTGTTGATCTCTTAGATTTGATTTTCGATTTCTTTATTATAGATTTTGATACGTGATCAATGGAAGATTGATGATATAATATTTTGGCAACATTTTGGCATTAGGAGGCAGATTTTTTTTTCTTCTTCCAGTGTGTGTATAAAAAGAACTAGACATAAAAATGTTTATTTTATGATGAATTCGTGTTCTTCAATGAATAATTTGGTTAGTGCTCTGTCAACCGTATACAGTGTATATCCATGTTATATGTTTATGTTTAAAGTGTAATTGTGACTTCTTACTTATTTGCTAACCTTTTGCAATTTTAGTGGATGTCGCCGAATATTGTATGTCGTAGCTATGATCCATTATAAGACCTAACGTTTCAGGATCATGATACCTGTTTGTATTAGGTTTTTGAGTCTTAAGGTTGATTGAGAAGTGGGTACTGCCACCTTTGCTAACCTTTTGCAATTTTAGTGGATGTCGCCGAATATTGTATGTCGTAGCTATGATCCATTATAAGACCTAACGTTTCAGGATCATGATACCTGTTTGTATTAGGTTTTTGAGTCTTAAGGTTGATTGAGAAGTGGGTACTGCCACCTCCATTATAAGACCTAACGTTTCAGGATCATGATACCTGTTTGTATTAGGTTTTTGAGTCTTAAGGTTGATTGAGAAGTGGGTACTGCCACC